GCCACCTTAGGTGTATGTGGCTGGCGCCTTAGCTGCTTGAGCCACAGGCGCCGAGCCGAGCCCCAGAGTTTGAAGTTGCTGTGAGCTATGATGCCCTGGCACTTTACCCAGGGCAACAGAGTGAGATTCTGTCTCAAAACAAAAAACACCCCCAATCTGTGCTAAGTCAAAAATTCATGTTATTTTTGAATAAGAGTTCCATCATGGAACCAGTGCAGCATAGACAGTTCAAAATATCAGTGAAGTATTTGGGTAGGGTATGGCTAATGAATGCTTAGTACATCAATGGCTCAAGAAGTTCCATTCTGGTGACTTTAATCTTGAAAATGAGCCATGTGGGTAGTGCCTGTGGCTCAAAGGAGTAGGGCGCCAGCCCCATATGCCAGAGGTGGCAGGTTCAAACCCAGCCCCGGCCAAAAACTGCAAAAAAAAAAAAAAAAAGAAAATGAGCCATGTGGGGGACCTGAGACCAAGGTGGATAATGATGAGCTGAAAGCTGTAGTGGAAGCAAATCTATCTTAACCTACGTGTGAATTAGAAGCAAGGTTTGCTGTTACTATTCCGACAATACTAAACCCTGTTTTCTTTTGAGACAGAGTCTCACTATGTCACCTTCAAGAGAGTGCCACTGTGTCACAGCTCACATCACAGCTCACAGGAACCTCAAACTCTTGGGCTTAAGTGATTCTCTTGCCTCAGCCTCCCAAGTAGTTGGAACTACAGGCGCCCACCACAAAGCCCGGCTATTTATTGTTGCATGTGTTATTGTTTAGCTGGCCCCGGCCGGGTATGAACCCGCCAGCCTCACTCAGTGCATGTGGCCGGCACTATAAACATTGTGCTATAGGTGCTGAGCCCAATACTGAACCATTTGAAACCAATCAGCAAGGTAAAGAAACTGGATAAATGGGTTCCACATGAATTAAATGTCTGCTAGCTTGTCCTTCTTTGCTGTCACAACACAAAGGCGAACCATCTCTACACTGTGTTGTTACATGTGATGAAAAATGCATTCTTTTGGGGTGGTGCCTATGGCTCAGCAGGTAGGGTGACGGCCCATATCCCGGAGGTGGCGGGTTCAAACCTGGCCCGGCCAAAAACTGCAAAAAAAAAAAAAAAAAGCTGGGCGTTGTGGCAGGC